TACCAACAGGTCCCATAGCCTTATATGATATATGATATAATGTTTACTGTACATAAGGCATCAGGGGAAGAGGATATAAGTAGTGAGATAAAAAAATGTCATTGATGTAATGTTCAAACTTGGGCCTGTGTGTGTGTGTGTGTGTGTGTGTGTGTGTGTGTGTGTGTGTGTGTGATTCCCAAGGGAGAAAAAACCATAAATTATTATCTTTAGTTTAAATTTAAACTTTGAAAGTTATGTTAGCCTAATAATGTAATTAATATTCTTTCTTACTATGGTTTTTAGAAACAGACAAATCATTAAAACATAAAAAGGAAGAAATTTAAATATAGGCATACCCTTAAATATGACCTAAAGACCAGCTAAATTAAGAAGTCTTTCTTATGAAAAGCATTCGTGGAATATCTTTAGATATAGAATGCACTTGTGTGTTTTAAATAGAATTTAATATGTAACATTAAATTACAAAGTATCTATAAAAAACACATAGATAGTATAGCTATACACATATTCATATTTATATTAGCTAGTAACATATATAATGCATATGGAACCATGCATATCTGAGAGCAGTATAATGGAGGGGAAAAGCTAGTGTAGTATAAATGTATGTATAAATGTAGTATAAATAGTGTAAATATATAAGTCATAGAAGCTCTTATATACAGTCATGCATCGTTAATTGTCCATGATAGGTTTTGTGAAATAGGATGTTATGTGATTTTGACGTTGTGTAAATACCATATTATACAAAGGCAGTGCTCAGATTATGAACGAATTCCATTTTTAATTCTGTCTTTAAGTTGAATTTGTATATAAGCTAAAACAATTAGGTAGGGTTCCTCTCTAATGTCAGTTAGTCAAATGTTTGTCTTAGTACATAACATATAATTTATGTTTCTATGCATAAAAAACATTAAAGAAACACTTCCAGATACACTAAAACATCTTTAACATAATAATACAATAGTAATAATAATGATAATGTTTTGATGTACTTTGCATCTGTTATTACGAACCATTATATGCACTTCAAATTTTTAATAGTCTTTATGGGGGTTGGGACCACAGACAAATACGCAGTCAGACTACGTCTGAACAGATGTTATGTGGCGCATGACTGTATATGAAAACATCCTCACAAATACTAGGATAAAGTGGAAAACTAACAATACCAAAAATTAGGCTCAAGACATATGGAAAATCCTTGGATAGAAGGCTGTGTAAGGAGGCATGGATTTGGTATTGTTATAGATGCACTGATGAGAAAGGCGAAGAAAGCTTTATGGAAAGAAGTCCTGGTGGATGACCAGGAATTCTTCAGGGTTACAAAAAAGATGAATTCAGGGAGAGGGAACAGAGGCACTGAGGCATTATAGAACATATTGCATTCTGGAAATTAATATAACATGAGTCTCTTATTTACTGGATAGACCTTTATCAAGTGTGACATGGATAAGTTGAACATGAAAGAGTGGAAAATGGGAAGAGATAAACTAAACTCCCCTGCTCAACTCTGCTTCTCTGTATGAAGTCAGGAAAATTCCTTCATCTTTAATAATACATCTTTCTGGACTGATTCCTACCATGGTCTAGGCATATTAAGTTGGCGTTCATTTATTTATCAAATAAATATCTACATCTGTAGGATATCACTCACAGAATCTGTAGTCTTGCAATATTACGGAACCACAGGTTAGTCAGTTTTCATAAGGTTTCTGTATGTGTGGTAAGCTTTATACAGATACGCTTAACACATCTAACAAACTATTACAGAATTCAGGGTACTTGTAACCTTTTCATCCCCCACAGCCATCAGCACAGCATCTTGCATATAAAAGTGACATGGTAAATGTTATTGTACTAAATTACATATACAGGAGTAGAAAATAAAAATAACATAAAATATAACAATTTTAGGTTATAAATGCTGAAATGGATATAGATGGTACAGAAAAGATATAAAGATGGACATAGATAACTGGAGCTTTAAGGACTCCCTCTCATGTTAAGCAGAACAACTGGGGAAACACAATTAGGCATCTGGAAGGAGAAATGGAGGAGCAGACCAGGAAAAGGAGATTATGACCCCATAAAGACCACAGAAAATCCAGGCTACTGGGGTCCAACTGTGGTGGCAATTAGCTTTTCTATTACAGTTAAATATTCTTGCCCTATTGATTCACTTGTACTTTCAATATCATGAGATTAGGTTTTGCTTTCAGAAAACATGGCCATAGAGAGGTCCTCACAGGACCATGTCTTTTGAGGTTCCACAATGAAGACTTAGCAGAGAGTGATTTCCAAATTGCCAGAGGTCACTACCTTGAAGGCCAACCTTCTTTCCATTTACTCAGGTACTTGCTGCAGCCTGTATCCAACTCATGCATTCACCATAAATTTTTCTAGAGATAAACTCACCTCTGTAGCTGAAGAAATGGTTCGATCCATACCAGACACTCTGCACAGAATAGCCATAAGGAAGTGACACCAAAATCACTAAACCATCCTTTAAAAAACCAAAACCCACTGCCATCAAGTTGATTCCAACTCATAACGACCCATAGGGTTTCCAAGGCTGTAAATCTTTACAGAAGCCGACTGCCACATCTTTTTCCTGAGGAGCTGCTAGTGGTTTTGAACTACTGACCTTTTGCTTAGCAGTCAACTGTTTTAACCACTGCACCACCAGGGCTCCTAAATCATCAGCTCATTTAAATAATAGTCACTTCATTTATCATTTCTCACTGTATAATTGCTCATTTAGGAGAAAAGAAAACCAAAAAAAAGACAAAAATACTTCAATTATTATTCTACTCCTTTTTAATCAGAGGAAACAAATAAATATGCCTTGAAAATACAACTTTTTAAAAGAAAATTGTATTTTGATTTAAGGGAGAAAACAGAACACTTTGTCTGTAAGCCATTCTGACCTGTATATTTTTCCAAGCATAATATTTTAGGAATGATTTTGTAATTTGTAAAAATAGATCATTTTATAAATATAAAATTTTTAAAGAAAATCCTGCATTTAGTCTTTGCAGGTCACATTCTGAATGATTAACTATTATCAAAAATTCTGAGAATTTATCTCTGAAAACCAAGGTGTTTGGATAAAGTAATTTAACATTTAATATAATCAGTCTACAAAAACTGAAATAACCACTAATGAATTAATCCACTTTAATTCTTCCCTTCATCAAATAAAAAGTAATGCAGTAAATTCTTTCGGCCTGGCTAAATATTCAGAATTTCTACTGCTGATATTAATGAACATGATTATGGCTACACTTTATTAAACACTATGTGAAGGTGTCTATGCTCCACCAAATATTATGATTTTATACATATATATATACCAAAACCCAAACTTGTTGCCATTGAATCGATTTGGACCCATAGAGACCCTATAGGACGGAGTAGAACTGCCTCACAGTTTCCAAGGAGCGCCTGGTGGATTCGACCTGCCGACCTTTTGGTTAGCAGCTGTAGCTCTTAACCACTATGCCATCAGGGTTTCCATATATATATGTATGTATATATACATATATATATATATATATACATGCCTATGTTATTATCTTGAATTATTTTATAAGAAAACAGAAGCTTGAGAAACTGAACAATGCATTGGTTAAATCTTCGAGGTAAGTTGTGAACCCAGGCATACCTGATTCCAAATTCAACACCATTTATTCTACTATTCTGCCCCTATAAAAGAGCTGATTATCTTTTGCAACAAGAGAATCTCTAAATAAACTTCTTGTGCTAGTCCTTATTAAAAATCAACCAAACCAAAGCATGTCTGATGCTAAGATGTGCTAGTTAGATTATTTTGATCAAGGCTGCAGATGAAATCCATAACTCTTGTCTGCCTTATGCCCAGTGTGTGACATTACTCTGAAGCCAGTGGAGATGCAAGTGTGAATAATTGTTTACACAACCATCTGTATAAGTTGGTCATGCTTCAAGGACAGTCAGTTCTGTTATTCTCCATTCTGAAGGTCAGCACATTCTGAAAGATACCTAGTACAATTCCTTTCCTTGAGGATCCTTATTTTTCAGTGAGTAAAGGGAATGATCTCTTTTTTCAAAGGGAAAGATGACTGAGAGAGAAAACGAGGTTGAGAAGTTTTACCCCATTCTTGTCTCTTTTTAGTTCCTCAAATATTTTCCTTAATAAATCACAAGTATAGTTCAAATAGATATTGAGGATAACTAGGTGAAATAGAAGAGACAAAAAAAGGCAACAAGAAAGAGCAAATAAGAACTTCCTCAATAAGACACCAAGAACTTTCAGAGCCAACAGGCAATAAGGAACAAAAGAGAAAGTTCTGGGCACGAGAAACTAGGCCAAGTCATTAGAATTAGGAATGAACACAGGAGTGGGGGAAAATATTGTTATATTATTTTTGTATTCTTTGGCTTGTAATATATGAAGCTACAAATTGCTTCTATATATTAAAATATACAAATAAAATTAATGTAGTCTACACAAAAAAGACTGAATTATAATTACTATAATTATAAGAATCATATGTGCTAGGCACTGTACAAAGCACTTTATAAAATTCTGAAGTCAATTTTGAGTGAGCTTTTCTCTGCATGAATCCAGGAAGAAAAGCAGATAGGAGTAGAATAAACATCTCCAATTGTTTCAACAATGGATATAACTCTTTCCTCAATGTTGCATAAACACTGATAAAGAGCATAGGGATTGACTAATTGCCAAGCAGATATTCACAGACCTACTTATCTGGTGTCACTATTCTCAGTGATAGCATCAAATTCTACTTGGGATGCAAGAAACTACAAAACATTACACAGCCCTCCATATAGGTTACTGATGGTGTCCTTGAGGAATACATACAATACAGCTGCCCCAGTTAACTGTACAAATAGGACTTCTGTAGTTGTTTAGTATTCAAAATGATGTCACATTAAGATAAAATTATAAAATTTTTAGACTCTTTTACTGCAAAAATAAATAAAATACTTACATTATTAACAGAAGAGCATACTGGTTTCGGTCCGTAAAATCTTTGGGAAAGGACAACTGTAAAGGAAGTTCTTTTAAAGAAAGATCAAAATATTAAAGATGGAGAATCATTTAGATTTAAAACTATAAGATGTATAGAAAGCTGGTCTTGAATAACATAGCACGCACAAAACTTTACCATAGTCGTCAATATGAAGCATTTTAATTTCTGGCTTTACTGTCTTCTTCTTCAGGATAGCTTCCTTCAGCATAAAATTACTTTCCAACATAAAATATTCTGTAAACCAAAAAAAGGGTAGCGTAAATAACTAACTGCTATGAGTTGATAAAAAATCAATGCAATACAAGAAATCATTATCCAGCTGTTACCATTTGGCAGGCACTGTGCTAGGCTAATTAAACTTTCATAATTTCCCTCCTGAGTTACTACAAGTTTTCTAACTGAACTTCTAAAATCAAGTAAAATTTTCTCTATTGGCTTTCATATGTTGGAGTCAGCATTTACATCTCCGAAATGCAAATCTGATTGTGTCACTACCCTGCTTAAAAATAATTAAAGGGATACAAAATTATCTAACCCACAATATAATAAAATAAACATTGCCTGGCATCCAATACAAAATTACCAGGAATGAAACAAAACAACCAACTAAGCAACCAACCAAACAAACAAAAACAGGAAAATACCACCGATGATGAGGACAAATGTAATCAATGGAAACAGACTAAAAAATGACACAGATGGTACTATTGATAGACAAAGACATTAACAGAGAGATTGTAACTATATTCCATATGCTCAACAATGTAGAAAAAGCATAAGCATGTTAATAAAAAAACATTAAAGGAATAAAAAAGACCCAAATTTAATTCCTAGAAATAACAACTGCAAAATCCAAGGTGAAGAATACATGAAAACTACAACATCCAAGATAAAAAATACACTGGATGGGATTAACAACAGATTAGATATTGCAGAATAAGAGATTAATGAATTTGACAATATAGCACCAGAAAATATTTAAAGTGAAACACCAAAAAAAAAATAGAATTAAAAAAAATGCAGACAGCATCAGCAACTTGTCAATGTAATGTGGTGAATGTAATATGGTGAATTACACTGATTGAGTGTTGAATGTTACAGCATCCATGGATTCCTGGTATAAATCCCACATGGTCATATATATTATGCTTTTTATTAACTGTTAGGTTTGTCTTGTTAGTATTTTCTTAAGGATTTTTGCATCTATATTCAGGAGAAAATCTGATCTTCTTTGGTGGGGTGAGGGATCATGGTAATGTGTATGTCTGGTTCTTTCATTATAAAATGAGACTGCAAGTGCTCTCTCTCTTTCTCTTTTGAAAGAATTGCCTTAGTTTGGTATTAATTTAATAAATATGGGATAGCATTCACCAATAAATCCAACTGGAACTGGAGTTTACTTTGAGGGAACAACGTTAGTTGTGAATTAAAAATTTTAGTAGATAATGATCTATTTAAATATTGTATTTATTATTATGTGAATGTTTATCAATTTGCATTTTTAAGGTATTTATCCAGTTCATCAAATATGTCAAATTACTGACATAAAATTATTATCTTTTTAATGTCTGAAAGATCTGTATTAACATCACCTTTCATTAATGAAAGGGGTACTTATACTGTTTCTCTTCCTTTTTTCCTTTATGAATGTGTCTATAATTTTATCAATTTGATTTGTTTCTTTGAAGAAGCATCTTTAGGTTTTATACATTTCCTCTACTACTTTTCCTTTTCAATATCACTGATTTCTTCCTTCAATTTACTTGTCTTTTATTTACTCTTCTTTTTCTAGTTTCTTCCTTCAACTTACTTAACTTGATTTTTATTTACTCTTCTAGTTTCTTCAGGTGGAAGCTTAGATCATTGACTTAAAATTTGGATATGTTGTATTTCATTTTCATTCAGTTCAAAATATTTTCTAATTATTTTTGTAATTTCTTCTTTTATGTATGTGTTATTTAGAGGTGTGCTTTGTGTTACTGTTGTTCTTAGGTGCCATTGATTTTGACTCATAGCAACCCTATGTACGACAGAATGAATGAAACACTGCCCATTTCTGCGCCATTGTCACAATCGTTGTTATGTTTGAGCACATTGTTGCAGCCACGGTGTCAATCCATCTCGTTGAGGGTCTTCCTCTTTTTCACTGACCCTCTACTTTACCAAGCATGATGTCCTTCTCCAGGGACTGGTCCCTCCTGAAAACAATTCCAAAGTACGTGAGATGAAGTCTCATCATTCTCGCTTCCAAGGAGCATTCTGGCTGTACGTCTTCCAAGATAGACTTGTTCCATTCTTCTGGTAGTCCATGGTATATTCAATATTCTTCGCCAACACTATAATTCAAAAGCATTAGTTCTTCTTTGGTCTTCGCTATTCATTGTCCAGCTTTGCATGCATATGAGGTGATTGAAAATATCATGGCTTGGGTCAGGAACACATTGGTACACAAAGTGATATCTTTGCTTTTCAACACTTGAAAGAGGTCTTTTGCAGCAGATTTGCACAATACAATATTTCCTTTGATTTCTTGACTGCTGTTTCCATGGGCATTGATTGTGGATCCAAGTAAAAGGAAATCCTTGACAACTTCAATATTTTCTCCATTTATCCTGATGCTGCTTATTGGCCAAGTTTAGAGAATTTTTGTTTTATGTTGAGGTGGAATCCATACTGATCTTCAATAGCCCTCTTTGCTTTCAGCAAGCAAGGTTGTGTCATTTGCATATCACAGGTTATTAATGAGTCTTCTTCCAAACCTGATGCTGCTCTCTTCTTCATATAGTACAGCTTTTCAGATTATTTGCTCAGCATACAGACTGAATAAGTATGGTGAAAGGATACAACCCTGACACACACCTTCTTGACTTTAAACCACACAGTATTGCCTTGTTTGATTTGAACGACTGCTTCTTGGTCTATGTACAGATTCAGCATAAGCACAATTAAATGTTCTGGAATTCTTATTCTTCAAAATGTTATCTATAATTTAGTATGATCCATACAGTTGAATGCCTTTGCAAAGTCAATAAAACATAGGTAAAAATCTTTCTGGTATTGAATGTTTTTCAGATATCTTTCTGTTGTTTATTTCTAGTTTAATTACATTATTCAGATAAGATGCTGTGCATGATTCTAATTCTTTTGATTCTTAAATATATAGAGACTTTTTTATGGTCCAGGATTTGGTCTAACTTGGCAAGAGTTCTGAGCATACTTAAGAAAAACAAAATAAAAGAAAGTCAAAATCTGCTGTTAGATAGTGTTCTATAAAGGTCAATAACATCAAATTGGTTGATAGTGTTTTTCAAATCCTCCTGAGAGAGGAGTGATTCCTTTTGGTGGGTCTATTTCTTCCTTTAAGGAGTCATAGTGGCACAGGGGTTATGCACTTGGCTGCTGACCAAAGGTTCGTGGTTCGAACCCAACAGTTGCTTCACAGGAGAAAGATGTAGCAGTCTGCTTCTGTAAAGATTACGGCTTTGGAAACCCTATGGGGCAGTTCTACTCTGTCCTATAGGATCGCTATGAGTCAGAATCCACTTGATGGCCATGGGTTTTGTTTTGGTTTGGTTTATTTCTTCCTTTAGTTCTGTTAGTTTGGGCTCCGTATGTTTGAAAGTGAGAGTGCACGCTTAGGATTGTTGTGTCTTCCTAATGAACAGATCCATTTACTATTATGAGATTTTAATAAAGGGTTAATTACAAATATATGGACATTGGGCAAGGGAATCTTAAGGGGTAATAAAGTAACCCAGGGCTTACAACAGTGTCTAGGCCTGAATGCCAAAGGCATAGAGCAGTTACTAGAACCTCCACAGAAATGTCCAGTGAGAGATCCACATTGAGAGGAACAGTGACCTTCAGCCAAGGATCAATGTCAACCTGTGGGAACTCCACAGGGTCAGGCCTGGAGAAATAGATATCCCAAAATCACTTTTCTCCCTCTCTCTGTTTGCTTACAGGATTCTCTTTAGGTGAATAGAATCAGCAGCCATAGGGCAAGGGAATCTGTTAAGTCTTCTATACAAACTACTTCCGGTGCCCAGAACATGGCAGCGAAGAACTGAGAATTAAGAGTGATTTTAAAGGAGCAAATGGGTATTCCATTAAGAATTTACTTCTAAATTACCCTCTTTTGTTACTTTAAAAATAGTTTCTCACTAATATAGATAGCCCTGATATAATATTCTCTATTTAGAATTATTTTATTAGTATAGACTCTCAGATCCCTGGTGGCACAAAAAAAGAAAAATAGTGGGAAGAAGATATATATAATTTAAGGCTTATGGCTGAGTTATTATTTTTTTAATAAAAGATCTGTTGTAATTTATATTTCTACCAGCAAGTTATAGGAGCCTCATTATATCTTCATTAGAAATGTAAATTTTTTGATGTTATTAATTTGTTAGGACAAATTACATTGCAGTGTTTTACTTTGCATTTTTTGACAACAGTTGGGTTTAAGGAAACCCTGGTCGCGTGGCGTAGTGGTTAAGTGCTACGGCTGCTAACCAAAAGGTCAGCAGTTTACATCCACCAGGTGCTCATCGGAAACTCCATGGGGCAGGTCTACTCTGTCACTATAATGCGGAATTGACTCGATGACAATGGGTTTGTTTTTTTTTAATTGAGTTTAAAGGTTTTCCATGTCTGTTAATTATTTCATTTCTCCTTTCTCAATTTTCTCTTCATGTTCTATTATACTTCATGTGGTGCAAAAATGAGTTATGACTGATTCACTATTGTACTTATTTTCATTAATCCAAAGATTGACATGCCATTGGATGTTTCATATCCATAAGTAATCGTCCTTTGAAAAGAAAATTAAAAACCTGACCCTCTTCGCAACCCTTTTTTACTTTATCTTAAGACAGTCATAGTTGGCTTTTGAATGGAAAAACCACAAATATTTCCCATAGACAAAAATGTTTAGTGATGTGCAGAAGACTTTGCCTTGAAACAGTTGGATAAAATTAAAGTCACATTGGGACTGGTTTTTTATCACCCTTTGTTAAAGGCAAAATTCTCAATGGATCCCAAATATTTGCCATTTATTCAATGCATTCTGCATGGCATGGATTTATCTCACCTCACAGGAACTCACTGGCTCATCTGCCTAGGAGTAATTTGATCCTGTGGATATTAATTAACTTGTCTCAGATCTCACAGAAGTATATGTGATGGACCAGTTTTATACACTGATTTGTATATTTATAATATTCAATCTTTCTATTTTACCTTTTTTTTTTAAATTTTGCTTTAGGTGAAAGTTTACAGCTTAAGTTAATTTCTCATACAAAAATTTATACACATATTGTTATGCAACATTAGTTGCAATTCCTGTAATGTGACAGCATACTCCCCCTTTCCACCAGGGTTTCTTACGCCCATTCAACCAGTTCCTGTCCCTTCCTGCCTTCTTATCCTGCCTCTGGACAGGAACCGCCCATTTGGTCTTGTGTATTTGATTGAACTAAGAAGAACACTCTTCACGAGTATTATTTTATGTTTTATAGTCCAGTCTAATCTTTGTCTGAAGAGTGGGCTTCGGAATGGCTTTAATTCTGGGTTAACAGAGTGTCTAGGGGCTGTGACTTCAGGGGTTCCTCCAGTCTCAGTCAGACCATTAATTCTGGTCTTTTTACTAGAATTTGAGTTCTGCTCCTGCATTTTTCTCCTACTTCATCACGGACTTGTTTTGTTCCTTATCAGGGTTGTCATTAATAGTAGCCAGACACCATCTAGTTCTTCTGGTCTCAGGCTGATGGAGTCTCGGTTTATGTGACCCTTTTGTCTCTTGGGCTAATATTTTCCTTGTGTCTTTGGTGTTCTTCATTCTCCTTTGCTTCAAGTGGGACCAACTGCTGCATCTTAGATGGCCACTCCCAAGCTTTTAAGACCCCAGACTCCACTCACCAAAGTAAGATGCAGAATATTTTCTTAATAAACTTTGTTATGCCAATTGACTTAGATGTCCCCTGAAACCATGGTCCCCAGGCCCCAGCCCCAGCTACTCTGTCCCTCGAAGTGTTTGGTTGTATTCAGGAAACTTATTAGCTTTGGCTTTAGTCCAGTTGTGTTGACTTCCCTGTATTGTGTGTTGTCCTTACCTTCACCTAAGATGATTCTTGTCTACTATCTAGTTAGTGAATTCACCTCTCCCTCCCTCCCCAACCTTGTAACCATCAAAGAATGTTTTCTTCTGTGTTTAAACCTTTTCTTGAGTTCTTATAATAGTGGTCTCATACAATATTTGTCCTTTTGCTACTGACTACTTTCATTCAGCATAATGCCCTCCAGCTTCATCCATGTTGTGAGATGTTTCGTGGATTCATCATTGATCTTTATTGTTGCATAGTATTCCATTGTGTGTATGTACTGTTTATCCATTCGTCTGTTGATGGGCGCCTAGGTTGTTTCCATCTTTTTGCTACTGTGAACAGTGCTGCAGTGAAGAAGGGTGTGCATATATCTATTCGCAACCACAGTGTCTTTATTATCATTATTGTTGCTGTTCATATCAATATTGAACAAACTGAATTTGCTTACAATAAACCTCTTTAAGGCTTTATGCTAAAGACTGGGATATAGAAAGAGACATACACTAAAAGAAGTGCCAAACTATTTTCCAACTACACAAAAACCAATGCACATTTAGAAATTTTGTCTTTGTCTATGACAAGCATGAAGTCACCATTTGCTATCTGAAGAGTATTAAATAGTCTTTCTCTGTTCCCCCAAAATGACATTTGTCATTGACATTTACACTGTTATATTAACATCTTCTCTAAGTCAAATCATCTAGCTCAGACTCCTACTTAATCATAAGTATCTGATGCAAGAGACAAAAACACAATAGGATGGTGTGGTATATTATACTGATTAGACCCTTATCCTGGAGTCAGAATGCCTCTTTTGATTCTTGGATTTACTGCCTGTTATTGTGACATTGGCTAAGTTACTTAACCTTGCTATGACTCAGTTTCCTCATCTATAAAATGGAATAATACAATTAACTATCTCAGGCGGTTGCTCTAAGAATTAAATGAAGTCATAAATATAAAGCCTCACAAATAGATTGTAATAGTCTATGTTAACTTATTAGAGCATAAGAGAATTGTTTGAATAAATAAAATAAATAAGTAAAGAAAAAAGAGGGAAAAAGACGGGAGAAAGGAAAACCGGAAGCAGTTTAGCTATTCATTTTTAAAATTAGCTCAACCATATATTTACTTATTCACTCTACCATGACTTCTTAAACACACTGGCCATGTCTTAATATCTATGTAGTCCCAAACTCTGTCACATTGTTTGATAAAGTGCTTAATAAATAGTGGATGCCGAATCAATAAATGAACAAATGAGTGAACATATAAAATTAGAAGGACCTGGATATCTGGAACAAAAAGACAGGAAATATAGAAAAAAATGTATTCTCCATAATTTTCCTAAAAGTCCACAAGAGGCATTGTTCCAAAGGAATGATCTATATAAGTCTCAAGAGAGAAAAAAGCAGAGAACTCAAGGGCCAGTAAACTGAAATAATTCTGAAACAGCCTCATCAATCACTCTTCATTCAATTCAGGCATATAAGACACCATCTGACTAATGAAAGCATGTAAGAAAAACTTGCTTTATGGTTTCTCTTACATACATAAGGTCAAGTTGATGGTGCCTACCCAACTTTGCGCATGCTATAGACTCCTTTGAAGAAGGGTTCTGTAGAGTATAACATTCAGTATACATAATATAATGCCTTATACCGATGGCAACCATAACTACTCTGAGTTGCCTTGCTCGAGTACTCACTTTCTGGGTTGTCCGTGTTATGTAGGCTGACCACTGGGACCCCTGGACCTGGATTTTAAAAATATATGAGGAAACATCTTGAAGAGAGCTAAGTGATAATTACTGGAAAGGCTGCATACCACAGTTTTTTGTAAACAGAAGCATTTCTAAGTTAAAAGATAATGAAACACAAAACCAGATAATTGGTTCACTCCTTTCTATGGATATTTTATCCACAAAATAAGAACATATGAGAAAAAAGCTATTTGCAGAGATTATTGCTAAGACCTCTTTTCCCTCAGAATATCCTATACGTCTACATTTCTGTGGCTTTAGCCAATCTTTCATGACTACTCTATCTCTACTCTTTTCTTGAAGAATCACTGATGTCCAGAAAACTAACTCACGACCTGTGACACCCTTAAGCACTGATCTCAAATCAAATTCTGTTTACTTCTCAGCCAGGAAAGAAAGAATGCCTATATATTAAAAATATTTTATACAAAACATGAGTAAAGCATTTTCAGCTAATTATACTGTTACTTAAAAAAAAAAATTAACCAGAATCTCCAGTTATTTCAAATACACAGGTTAATTAAGATGTTACCTTGAATCTTCAAATACACCAGTTAATTAAGATGTTACCATGTTAACTTGAATCTTCACTTCTCTAACGAACCTTATCTAAAAGTCTAATGGTTTTTCCCCAGTGTGATCATACAAGAAATTCTTTTTGATTTCTTCATTTCAGATATCAAGAGAACAAAAAATGAGTAAAAAGAGCAAGTGCTAGTCAACTCCTCATGGTGTCTTAGAACAGCTTAAGGAACAAAGTACAGCAGTAGTATTCAATGCATCACATTTTAAGAGGTCATGTGAATTCCATTTCATCTCTGAGACTTTATTGCTATAAATATGTCTTAAAGATACCATACAAACAAACATGTAAGACAATAGCATATTGTTCCCAAACAAAATAACTATTTGGAGTCTACATAATAGCTCAGAACTGAAGGGGGCTGGACAAAGGATATTCAGTTTCCTGTAGATTCCAAATATCTTCAAACCAAGCCAATTTTTTTATCAACTGTTGCTTTTCCTAAAGACTAGGTACACTATTTTATGACTGTGGCAAGACTTTGGTCACTTTTCTCTTTCATTATCATTTTTAAAATGTCCATGTTCAAAGACCCCTTATTGATTGTGTGTCCATGTTGACTTACTCCCAGATTCTATTTCTAATTTGTATACCTAAATAAAATTTGTATTTCATCAGATTCATAATTTATACCCTTTTATCAAAAACTGCTATGAATTAAGAATATGAAATTATATTGCTAGCCAGTATAGTTACTAATGATAGTAATAGATACTGGTCAAATAAAATGAGTAAAATACATTTTTCTGAAATTATTTATTATCTTACCTTTACAGAGTAATAAGAAATGTTGATTCATGGGACTAAAACTGGCACTGAAATATGTACATTGTTCTTTCATAAAATTACATGAAATGCATTGACGGTTCAATAATCCTTCAGTAGAAGCACTGGGGAAAGAAAAACAAAGTTAGAAACGCTACCATTCTAGGCACTTTAAAGTGTGTATCCATATTTAAATATTAACACAAACAGAGGAGCTACAACAGTGTTTGCACAGAAGTTCCTTATAAATTTGCATCAAACAAATTGCACCAAACAAACACAAAGTAAATTTCCATTGTTAATATTAAGACATACATTTTCTTCTATGTTATAAAATTAAAATTATGTATATCTGTATATATATACATAAAATTAAATTTAAATTTATATAATTAAAATTAAGTATATATATGTACACATATGGAGCCCTGGTGGTGCAGAAGGAGCCCTGGTGTGATGCAGTGGTTAAAGCATTTGGCTGCTAACGGAAAAGTCAGAGGTTCGAAGCCACCAGTTGCTCCACTGGAGAAAGGTGGGTCACTCACTTCTGTAAACATTTACAGCCTTGGAAACCCTATAGGGCAGTTATACTCTGTCCTTTAGGGTCACTATTAGTCAAAATCAACTGGACACCAACAGGTTTGGTGGTGCAGATGGTTAAGCTCCCTCAGCTGCTAAGCAAAAGGTTGGTGGTTTGAACCCACCAAGATATGGCAGTCTTCTTCCATAAAGATTACAGCCAAGAAAACCCTATAGGGAAGTTCAACGTTGTCACATGGGATCACCATGAGTCGGAAATGACTTAATGTTACCTAACAACAACAACATATCCAAACCCATTACCGTCGAGTCAATTCCAACTCATAGTGACCCTACGGGACAGAGCAGAACTGCCCCATAGAGTTTCCAAGGAGCACCTGGTGGATTCAAACTGCCTACCTTTTGGTTAACAGCTATAGCTCTTAACCACTATACCACCAGGGTTTCCATATATATATATATATATATATATATATATATATATATATTTTCAATGTCCACATGAAGCACTATAACTTATTGTTATGTGATTTTTCTTGATAGATATTTCTTTGCAAAGTCTTAGAAGGAATTGCCCACAGAGACTAGCACTTAGTTGCTGTTGTTGTTAGTTGCTGAGTCGATTCCAACTCATGGTGACCCCATGTGTGCAGGGTAGAACTGCTCCATAGGGTTCTCAAGGCTGTGACTTTTTGGAAGCAGATTTCCAGGCCTGTCATCTGAGATGCCTCTGGGTGAGTTCAAACTACCAACCTTTTGGGTATTAGTAGAGTGCTGAACAGTTTGCACCATCCAGGGATTCCTAGCATAAAGCAGCCATCAATAAATATGTTGGAAGAATGAATAAATGTTCCTACAAGTCACACCAAAAATCAAGCTGATGATTTTCTAAATCTAACACTCTAAACATTAGAATTTGGCATCAGTGCCAAATATTCCCCACTAACTACTTGCTATGTAATTTTTGGTAAAGAAAAGCTATTTTTGTATTTTAATAAATATGATGTTAATGATAATGTATAATTTGAGATACTGGTGAGAGAAAGAGAAAAGTGATCATCATCCTTATTTTTAAAATAATGGTGTTTAAGGTCAAGAGGGCTTGAGATATTTATCCAAGGTTAAATTTTATACATAGAATCATTTAGTTTATAAATGCAGTTGAATGCTAAATTATCTAGACCAATGAATGAAAGCAGTGGTGAAGATATATATTCCCCCAAATTTTGTTTTTGACTGGACAAAAGATTTTTAATTTAATTTTGGAATGAAACATGATTTTGTTCATACTTTATAAATGAATCATTCAAAACCAAACCAGCTGCCATCAAGTCAATTCCAACTCATGCAACCTCATGTGTTGCAGAGTAGAACTGTGCTTCACAGGGTTTTCAATGGCTGTGATCTTTTGAAGTAGATTGCCTGCCCTTTCTTTTGAGGCACTTCTGGATGGATTCAAATCTTAACCCTTTTGGTTAATAACTGAGCAATTAACTGTTTGCACCACCCACAGACTCCTAAATGAATCATACAAAAAAAAAACAAAATAAAACAAAAAAACCAAACTCGTTGCCATCGAGTCGATTCTGACTCATAGTGACCCTACAGGACAGAGTAGAACTGCCCCATAGAGTTTCCGAGGAGCAGCTGGTGGATTTGAACTGTTGACCTTTTAGTCAGCAGCTGTAGCTCTTAACCACCACACACTGTGGTAGAGGTGATAAAAAGATAAAAGCAAATTATGCATAAATAAGAGCATGTAAGAGAATTAGGGGGAGTTAGCTGACTTTAAAAATGCATTTTTACTCATAAGTTAGACTACTGAAATTGATGAGATAAGAAGACAAAAATTTTGAGACCAAAGAAAAAGTAGCACTGAATATAGTTATAGTTCTGATTCTGCAGGGGGGTATAATGCCATACATTAAGTCAGCCCATAATAATTTTTATGGCCTGGCCAACACAATGATGGAGCTTTTTGCGTCAAACACTAATATTATCTTACAGTCAAGCCAAATGGCATTTGATGAGCTATTAAGGGGAAATTTACTGATACTACATTTTCTTTATAACACAGCCTGCTACTCTTGTATAGGTCATAGATATCTTGACTGTTCCGCCTCAGTCACTATGCAGATAAGACAAGCATACAAATTTCAGAAGTCATTTTGATTCAAATCACATCTTAGGCTAATAAGAGGAGAGACTGAGGCAGTTCCATTGGCTGATCTTCACCAAGACTAATCTTCTCACACTGTCATCTTTCTTTAAGAGTTTTCTAAAATGAGAGGAATGAGACATCGATCAAGTACTTCTATGTCTCTAAGGTACTGTCCATGGTCACCTATATCAATCATAAACTATATATTTCAAGAAAGAAGCTTCAAGTTACTACAAAGAAAAAGTGGCCTGTACTTTAATCAAGTTTTCATAATCAAAATTAGGTTACTCTCTCTAAGTAAATGGTTCTTCTTCCTATAGAAGTCATTAGAATTGGGAACATGAATTCCAGAAAAACCAAGGGAAAAAAACCAAAAACATGAAAATGATATGGTGATTTTAAAAAAAAAACAAAAAAACCATTGTTGTGGAGTTGATTCCAACTCACAGTGACCCTATTATAGGACAGAGTAGAACTGCCCGTTTCCAAGGAGTGGCTGGTAGATTCAAACTACCAACCTTTTGGTTAGCAGCCATAGCTCTTAACCACCACACACTGTGGTAGAGGTGATGAAAAGATTAAAGCAAATTATGCATAAATAAGAGCATGAGAGAATTAGGGGGAGTTAGCTGACTTTAAAAATGCATTTTTACTCTCCAACGAAAGCCTAGGTTACTTGGTAAGAATCAATGGTGACACTTCTTCAGACATGAATTTCCACTGAGAACATGCTACAGCAGTTTTGACACTTCAAAAATAGAACTGTAAAATGGAAATTAGAAAGCATCTATAAAGTCTAGAATTAATAGGTTGTTTTCCAGACATTAAAAAAAAAGGTCCTAGTGAAAGTTTTCTGAGTAAGGATTCATTTTAATACTAAATGGATGTGATCTTCTGCCCCTATTATGAATATAGTGTTGCATTTAGGAACATCAGGCAGATGTAAATATTCCCCAAACACTGCTTTATTTTAGTAAGCAACAAGCATTCCTGGCTTAAAGAGGGATGCCTCCTCCCACAATAATCTCAAAGGATTTTATAAAATATGGAAAAAGGGAAAGCTTCCACTTAATACACTCTACTAAGTGTTCACAATGGCCTTATGGTGTTCAGGAATAAATTACATGAGCGCCACATTAATGCACTGAAAATTCAAAATGAGGCTTAGCAGAAGAGGAGGTCACTGGGGAAAATACATATCTGCTGTGATGTGGGACCTGCAAGTCACGCACACATGAAAGTCACACACTCATAAAGAAGACATTTTGAGACTGCAATAGAAGATGAATGAGAAAATGGAGCAGCAGGGGAGAAAGCTACATCCATTCAGGCTGCAGCCCTTTAGGCTTACAAAGGTCCAGAGCCAGGAGACAGCACCAAGAGTATGCGGCTTTGTCATACAGCGTTGGCTTTCCCTTAGGCATGTTGAAAATGCAACTTCAGATCGTTCCTCCCTTCATTTGGCCTTGTGGATGGCCAAGGAGAAACCGACCTGTGGAGGGGGAGCCTTGCACACTGCTTACCTGTACAGCTGCCTTCCTCTGGGAGAAGACTCTGTGCTCAGAAAGTAACTGCCCAAAAGAAAACAGCACACACATCAGGCACACATCTGATTTTCCTAAGCTGAGCTTTTAAATTGAATTCTCAGAACTGTCAAGGAACAGGTGAGGGCTCTTCTGCTGTTCAACAATAAGGCTTTGATCCATTTGAAAATCTTTTTTTTTTTCCCTTTATAATAAAATCATCCCACTTTTCCTGATCTCTCTCAATCTTTTCTTCTCCCTTATGCTAAGGAAAAGATTATTATTTACATGCTATATTCTCTTGACTAGGACCACGGTAAGCAAAACATAATTTTGGTAGAAAAGATGTCATTTTGACTTCTAGAGCCTGACTAGAGAACCCAATAACGCTCACATTTTTTGAGTGTTTTCATCATATGCCAAGATCTTTATAACTTCCCAGTTTCCTGATGTCAGATGCCGCACGGTAATTTGCTCACTTTTACTCTGCAAAGAGATAGAAAGCAGTGATTTTCTTTTTATTTAACCAGATCTAGCAAACTTTAAGCACTGACTGCCTGTAACTTCTATTTCTTTAACTCTTGGCTAGCATTCAGTTTATCATTTGAAATCTCAAGAATGAGCCCACATCTCATTGTTTGCTGAATCATTTAAAGGTAAGTTACAAACATCAGAATATTTCAGCCTTAATTCCTTAAGAACCCGTCTCTCAAGATGAAAAAATATTATACTATATAAGCATATCCTATATTACATCTATAAAAAATAACATTAATTCAATATCCTCTAAAAACAGTCAATATTAAAATTTCCTCAACTGCCCCAAATAATTACCTATACCTCTATAAGTTTGCTTATATATAATACATGACCACACAATCAAGGTTGACATATTACATTTGGTTACTATTGGTTCAGTCTTTTAAAGTAAAACTATCATCCTATCTTTTCTGTTTTTCACAACACTGACTGTGTTTTAAGGCTCTTGGCCAAATTGTCTTATAGAACTTTTGACATTTTGGGTTTATCTGGTTTTCTCATGATTTAATTTAGACTAAACATTTTTGACAAGAATACTATGTAGGTGATATTAGTTACCTCTCCTGCTTCATAGTAGAAGGTGCCTCATTACAAGTTTCCCACATATGAGAATATGCTGTATGAGTGGAAACTGCCAGATCTATTCACTGTAAAAGCACATTTTGCCTTGTAATTAAAAGTGGGGTAATACTTGCACATTATGTGAATAACCTTTTCCCAATCAACTTTTCATTCAGTAATTGTGAACATCCATTATGATTTCAAAGTGAGTTTCTAATCTGAACATTCCTTCTGTATTTATTAAATGGTATTCTGTGAAGAGCTTTCCCTACTTTTTCCTCTTATATGAGCTTAATCTCTATCTCCCTCTTCTCCTCACATTACTAAAAATTCAAACTTTTTTAAATTGTAATATGTTAATATCCCATTACTGTTGTTACTCTTTATGATGCTGAAATTTTCAAAATGTCCTAACTAGTGGGAACCCCTCATGCCAACCACTCTATTCTTTGGACATCATTACATTAGTCTTTAAGCACTTCCTTGATATCTGCACAATAAGATCTTCCAAGATCATTTTACTTTCTCTGTTCCATATCTGCAATCAGTCATTTCTCCAAGGAGATTCAGTTCCTTCCAGTGGATTGTGCTATTTAGATACCAAGATCTGAGGTTAGGTGTTCTCATTGCTATTGGGACACTACAACTTCCAGGCCCTTTGATGACATCAATCCATCCATCAATCAATTTAAGAGAAGGATGGATAGAGACATTTCCTTATGTTCGCTCTTTTTTTGCATATGTAGATATGTATATGTGTGTGTAGGTATGCATATGTGTTCACAGTGATAGTCTAATTAAAATTCTTACTAGTTTAATTTATATTAAGTTTATTTGCTTCTCTTAGGACTTAAATTTAGGGTTTGATTTTTATTCTTCTTAATTTTTGTTTTAAAATACACTTATGGTTTTAATATATACATTGGATAAAGTATTTTACTGAGAAGTCTTTTCATCTCTCTACCCATTCTCAGTAATCACATGTAGAATGTATTTCATTAGCTTCTTATTTATCTTTCCTTTTGTTTTGAAAAAAACACACGAAATAAATTAATAACTGTGATTATAAATGTAACCTTAAATTCACATAAACATATAAATTAGAGACAATATGGGACTTATTCCATATCCATTCTCAGAGATTTTCTTTCATCCTTTTTATTCCTACATATTTCTCCATAGTGCAGAAGTACCATAATTCATTCAAATAACTTTGAATGATGCATATCTCAAATAATGCTGCAATGATTAACTCTCTGTGTATGTATGTGTATGTTGTTGTTGTTAGGTGCCATCGAGTCGGTTCCAACTCACAGCGACCCTACGTACAACAGGATGAAAACACTGCCCAGTCCTTTGCCATCCTCACAATCACTGTTATGCTTGAGCCCATTGTTGCAGCCACTGTGTCAATCCATCTTGTTGAGGGTCTTCCTCTTTGTTACTGACCCTCTACTTTACCAAGAATGATGTCCTTCTCTAGGGACTGATCCCTCCTAATAACATGTCGAAAGTATGCCCAGCTTTCGCATGCATATGAGGTGATTGCAAACACCATGGCTTGGGTCAGGCACACCTTAGTCTTCAAGGTGACATTTTTGCTTTTTAACACTTTAAAGAGGTCTTTTTCAGCAGATTTGCCCAATGCAACATGTCTTTTGATTTCTTGACTGCTGCTGCCATGGGTGTTAATAGTGTATATATATGTATTAAATATGT